GTGCAAAATCTCGTTAAAAAAACAAAGATGTTTTGCATACTTGATACAGAATGTCATACGCAGATTTAAATATTATAGAATGTCATAAATTATTACTGATTCCCTTAAATTTATATTTCTGCAACAGTTAGATTTGCTCTACTTTACGAATTTGAGTTATCTTATTATAATCATTTTTATTTTTACAAAACATATATTGCTGATTTCATATATCCATTCTCTCGTTTTGCTTTTCACTCGTATGTTTTTTCGCACATTCACCCACTCGTTCGTTTGCTCGCTCGTTCGCACGCTGGACTCTTATTATATACACGGGTTAATGACTCAATTTTCTACACTATTCTAACTCCGCATGGGTTACTGTCGTTCCCAGTTACTTCGTGCATTTATGATCTCAAAACTCCGCGATAGGATGACGATTAGGAATGCAGCTCGATGCTTCAATGCGCGGAAGCCATTAAGACTTTACGTGCGCGAAATACATAAGCTATATGTATATCGATTTCAGTATAAATTTATAATTTATACAATGAACGAAGAGGTATTCGCAGCACCAATATGCTGAAGTTGAGAATAGAAATTAATTTTCGGAAACATAGAATTTTGATTTGTTTCATCTAAATTATTTATTCTTAATTATTTAGCTATTTTTCTATTGAGAGAGAGAGCTTTGCTATACTCTCTCAAGCTTACATTTCTAGGTTACCGTTAGAATTGTATGTCCATTTCTATCAATGTAGAAAGCCTTAATCTAGTTTTAGAATTATAGAAAAAGATAAAGAGTAAATGTTAAACCGAGATTAAAGTTAATCTATACATTGGTAGAAATGAACATTAATCTCTTATAAGTTGGAGATTACTTTTGATGATAAAGGGATCGTCAGTTTTCTTAGTTTCTAATCGTTGAAATTAAATTTATCTTGTTATTGCTTTCCATTTTCATTTCACTTGGCGATTTCGTGAAGAATTAAGTTGATCGCGATCAATAGTATCGATACGCATATATATGCAAATACAGATTATTTTTTTTAAATCTATGCTTTATACATCGACGATGTAATGTCACGTTCTCCGCGCAGACTTTACACATGACGGATCTGCGATGCAGGAAGCCGCTGCTTAAATTTAATGTTTAATAGACCGTGTGGCTGGACCCCCGAACCAAGCATTTTAATGCCTCGTTCAATCGGGATGAGACCGAAATGTATTTGAATAGAAATCGGAACGGTGACGCGTGCCGATCACATCATCATCTCTATTATTATTTCCGTTTCGACTTTGATCCTGCATTATGCATGGAAATCATAGCTTATTGCACTAGAAAACAAGTAGCTAATTAGCATTAAACAGGATCGAATCGAATCACTATTTGAACACTTCTGTTAAACTTTTTCAAGAGATTTTTGTACATATTTATTTTTTCCTAATTTAATAATTATTAAAAAACTTTTTATATCGGATTATCGTATGAATACATAGATGCCCGTTCTATCAGTGTACATTAACTTTAATTTTAGTTCATCTAATTCTACCTTTTTCTAATTTTTAGAATTAGAAAAAAAGATGAAAAGTTAGTTGATCCGAAAATTAAACTGTAGAATAGAAACGGGCATCAATGTATTTATATAATAATTTGATATAAAATTTTTTAATAATTATTAAATTAGAGAACGTGCGTAATTATGTAACTAGTGTTGAAGAATCACTTCAAATTTATTAATGTAAAAATTAAGAGTATCTTTTTTAAAAAGAAAGCAATACTCATAGCGATCGTACCTGTCGAAGGGATACGGTGCATTTCCGTGATGCAACAATCGTCTGCATGTGTAGGAAAGGCTCGACTTCCGAGTACACTGTAAATAAATATGGGCTGGTACCATATGGTCACGCATCGAGAGCTTCGAGTTGCATATCGCACACGTTAGATAAACCTAGTGTCACACTATACATTCGCATGAAGATCGCCAGCGATCGATCAAGCGGCTCGAGATATATTTCTCCTTTGAAGGTAGAATCTGTTACATTTTCTGCATCCTAACTTAAAATAAAATTATTCGGTATAAAATGCCTTGAATTGCCTAGGATCTAGAAATAAATTAAAGTGCTGATGAAAAATTAATGTCGTACACGGAAAAAAAATTCTGTTTGAAAATGAACAAGTTAGAAGATTTTAATCGTATCATCAGAATTCTGATTATCTCAAGCAGAATTATAAAAATATATAGATTCAACTAGAAAATTCTGATTTGTCCATGTTTAATTAGTATTCCAATTAATACAGCCAAACTCTTTCCAATCTAGAATTATTATAATTTTTGCGAATTTATATTAATTTTATATTTGATAGAAAATCCTAATTTGCTAAATATTTATTTTCTGTATATAAGTAGAACACAATTGGCTGAAGAAAAATTACTTCAAATTCGTCGAAAAATACCTAGAATCGATACATCCTTTCATTTGTGCTCTTATTTCTCATTTATCGAGTTAGGAGAATCAGTCGCGAAAATTCGCACAGTACTGACTAATCTTTAACGAGGTACCGTTAATGCTTCTTATTAACGTTCGTGCTGCATCGATGACACAAATCAGCCATGGCGTCAGTTCACCTTCGACCACCGCTCGGTTTACTCGATTCTGTTCGCGACTTTAAGCGATTTCTCATCCCAAAATAGCCTCTGAATTATTTCCCGCATTACAGCCGCTCAGAGACTGGTTCTGTATCGATTCCTCGAGTGACATTCGTGCCGCAGGTTGTGCCGCAAAAAAAATCTACATGCCGTCGATCATGACATTAACCTTCATAATGCTAAAACACGGATATGTGAAACTGAAATTTAATCAAAAATTTAATTAATATTTGAAACGAACGTGTGATAATTTTTTTATAAATTTGTAATAATTTTTTTCTAACTGGTGTTACGTTCAAATCGCAGCGAATTTTTTTCTAATTTTACGATATAATAATTAGAAAATATTTAAAAAAGAATTTACTTATATTTACGAGCAGTGTAAAAATAATAATGAGAAAAACAAGCAAAATTAAGGTATCGATTAAAAAAAAATACTTTATTATACAACACAAGAATATTCAGATTCTTGAGAGCAACTGTTTCTTGTTGTAATAAATTATTTTTAAATCACACTTTAATTTTGCTTGTTTTTAGCTTTATTATTTTTATATTGCTTTGCAAAATATAATATATACGATGCTTTTTTTAAATTTTATTTTCAACTGAACAAGAATACTGCTTGGACAATATTTTTTTAATTTTACTGCTACAACTTTTAATATTTCTCAATTTAATTTGTACACGATACCGGCATTGCTGCAATGTTTCTTGCTGGTCGGATGACTCGCGTATGTCTCGTCGGGCGGAATCAGACGGAATCGGTATCGTAACCGATAGCGCATAACGCCTGGACTCATCAAGGCGGGCCGAGAAATTGTTTATATGGTGGGGGCCCCGCACCAGGCGAAATTATACTCACTCTGGGAGTCATAATAAATGCGTTTATGAAACGCTGCTCGGTGAACGTTGTCAGTCGAACGAGTCGCGTCGCGCGACGCTGATACATCACGGATGCGTCATCATCGATTTTTCCGATGGTCGCTCGATCCATCCAACTTGGGAACGCGCGAATTTTTTGGTGCGACATTAATTATCCCGCCCCAGTTTCGCTCTATTAACTACTTCGTCGCGTTACACGCTTCGTAATGACTGTGCCTGGCTGTCTGCAAGTTACATGTGCGACGAAAAATAAAATTTATAAGCTTTATAAAATTTAAGAAAATAAAGTCAAAATTATGTTACATTAAAATGGAAAATTAATACATTGAAGAAAAAAATTTAATTAAATATGATGGAAAGAAAATGCAAATGTTTCCTCAAATATTTTTTTAAATAATTGATTATTTATAAAACAAAACATAAAAAACAAGATTATGTATAAAACAATAATTATAGTTACAAATTATAAAATTTTCTCTATCGATAAAAGGAAATAATGAATTGAAAGGCCAATGTTTAAAACTGTATTTTATGATGGACTGTAGTGTCAAGAGTTAATTTTTTATATTCACATGACGTCTCTTGTATATTTTTTGTAAGCTCGTAAATTAGACATACCGAACATTGTTCATCCAAATGCGTTTATTTTTGGATCCCGAAGAACGTTCGCTAAAGCGAATATGCTCCCGAAGGATAATCCACGATCGTGCGCTTGAAAACAGTGAAAAAAAAGACGATGTCTTCGGTGCCTAAAAGCCTCCGCTTTTTAAAGATCGAAACAGAGTGCCACGAAGAATTTCATGAATTTTCGCCGCGGTGTCGTGTGCGTGACGGGCATTGTCCGGGATTAAACCTGCACGTTCCTGAAGAGGTTCCCTACGAATCGATCGCGCGAGTTGTCTACAGTCCTCCGTTGTCTTCGATTCGATATACTTTCAGTGATACCTCTCGCACAAAATACAGCGATACCAATAGTAAGAATACATCCAAGTTCGAGCAAATTGTTATCGATGACGAAGTAGTGGTAGAACGTGCCAATCTTTTCATTGACTTCAACAGCGTAAATGGAGCAAGGCTAGTTACCCTGGGATATTACTAGATGACTATAACTGTATAATCTACAAGAATTCGTGAGAAAAGTATAGGAATTGCATCGGAGTTGTTAACATATCGTGGGAAGAACAAGGATTTATACACAGGAATTGATGCATCGGAATTTATGAAATTATCATTAATGATGAGATTACAGACGTATAATTTTAAACGTCTCTTATAATTTTTTAATGCAAATTTATTATAAACGAATTATAGATGAATTATAAAACGCGTGTTAAGAATAATTTGTTTATGAATTGTTGTGGAAGATAAAATATATCTTGTAAATATATGTCGTAATATTTTAACGTCAAGAAAGTTACTATTAATAATAAGATAGCTTAAACTTTTTCCTTTAACAATACAATATTTTTTATTTACTGTAAATTCAATATGGATTGGTTATCTCTTTGTGTCTGCGGTACAAAGCGCAATTCCAACGATAGAAAGCTCAAGAAGAATGGAAAGCGTAAAAAGAACAAGAAATGTAAAAAGAATTCCAAGCAGAAAGAATCATGCAAAGAGTTGCCGTTCATTGTCGACGAGTTTTTGCGCAAATCGCAGGATGAACAATTAAAAGAAATCGCAGAAAAAGATTGGACGAACGGAGAAATTGTTAATTATCTCAATGATTGCGCGATAAATCAAATCGCATTGACTGATCAAACTGATCCATTGGAAGTCAATGGTTCACTGTCTTATCAAATCAGTGAAGATCATGAGAGCTTTGAGAAGGATTCTCTCAAGGACTCGGAAAGAAATGCGGAATCTGTTGAAGAACTACGTAATATCGATTATTATGACGATGCTGTGCTGCATTTGAGAAATGCATTGTGTACGGCGGACGAAAAGCAAGTCAAATGCATCTCCGATGAAGAGGCAGATCTAGACGAATCCGTTCCGAGATCGGTGGTATCCGAAGGTTCGTCTTGGATGTCGGAAATCGAAGATAGACAGGATGCGGTTCTGGAATCGAGTTTTGATAAAAAGTTCCACGAAAGAATTTCATCTAGAATTAATTTTTCCGACGAGAAGCAAGAAAAGTCGAAGGCGAAAGCCGTCCCGAAGAAAAAAGGAACTAACAGAAACATTCTTCCACCGATCAAAGGAAGATCTCGCACCGAGACTTGCATGGATAATGAGGAACTGCAAGTTCATGAAGAGACGAATAAATTTGGTTTTAAGAGAACCGCAGCGTCTTACGAGCGAAACGAGGTTCGGCGGAAATTGAACTCTTGCAGCTTCGAGGTTCGACCGTACGAAGATGAAGAACGGAGTGGAAAAGAAAAAGGCGGAAAAACAATGAAAATTCGAGGCGAGGGATCCATGATACCTAGACTCGCATCTCCACTACGACAGAGAATGAATTCGATCAAGAACGACAGCGATAAATCAGAGATTGTGGAAAACGGTATATCGTTGCGTGTAAAAAATCATCATGCACACATAAGATATTTGATGAAGCAAACTTAGAAATGCAACGTCTCAATCTTGATCTTATTAAAGTAGTTTTCGATTAAATTATTAAAAGAAATACTGGTTATATGAAAAAAATGCCCCATTATTTTTTCAGTTTGACTCTGTTATCGAAAATTAGTCTCTTTATAATTTACTTAACTTTAATTTATTACTATACATGGTTTGAAGAACTGGAAAATATATTTAACAATTCAATATTATTACACAGAAAGAACGGTTTTCTTGAAGTATATCTATAGATACAAAATTGAAAATAATTTTATTGGATGATCAAATAATTATGTAGGATGCTCAAATTGATTGTTAGAATATCAAAACTTTTCGCAGCTTACTCATCATGCTTGGATTTCTCCATCATAATTCAATGATCAAACAACATTATTTTTAGATTATATTGTATATCCCTAAATTTTTATATATATTTCAGCAAAATCGTTTTTTTCATGTAGACATCAAGATTCAGCCTTGACCGTATTTGACGCTCTTTTATTTATTTTATGTTTATTTGACCCATAGAAAACTATCGAGAAAAGAGAAAATACGCTTTGTTAAGTACTTTAACGTAAAACGACGAATTCGTGTACACTCACGTAATCATTATAACCACATTGTAGTTCTTATACATTGTAATGTACAATTCTTGTTTCAGGTCGCGTTCACTCTGCAGTTGTCTCCGGTATCAATTTAGAGCAGCGCACCGTAACTGTAGAATGGTTCGAGAGAGGAGAAACCAAAGGCAAAGAGGTAAATGTGTGCACGCTCGTAAATTATTCTAATTTATAATTACTCAGAAGTAGAGTAACACAAGTTTAAGTTGGATTAAAGCTATTTTAAATTTAAGTAAAACTGAAATTAACTGGGGTAATTAAGATAAATATAATATAATTAATACTCATACATATTACGAAACGATAAAATATGATTTATTTATTATTAGTATTTTTTAATTTTTATCAGTTTTACATTAAACAGAATACATGTAGTTTGAGAATTCCTCTGTTTAAATAATTCGGTATATTTTCTTAGTACAGACTTTCTCGTTTTCGCAGAATTTACTTAAAAACTATATACAGTTGCCTACGCATGTTTCCTCGGACACATACATGTCAAGTGTGTTTTTATCTCATATTAATGGAAAATAATGGCGCTACGGGCAACTTTCTCTCACGATTTCGCCGCATTGAACTGCAATATTTTAATTCCATTCATCCGTAGGTCATGGTTATTTGGTTGTTTTCAATTCCGTAATGCTTATGCAATGCCACTGGGCTAACTTACAGCCCGCTAATGGGGGCACGAATCTATTTTTGACCGGTTTGCAAGTCCGCAGATTTACCGTCAGTCAAACCGGTCAGGTCGAACGTGACTTTTGTAAAAAATCGCACGATACAAGAATGAAACTCGTGAGAAAGTGAATTTCCGATCGTGAACGAAGTATCATATTCGACTTCTCGATTTTACATTTTTTTTTGTGATTTTTTTGCGAATTCCGGTAACAATTTTGTTTTACGTTTCATAGATAAATGCTAAATGTTGAATTTAAGAGGATAACTCATTAATTGTCCATTCTATGTTAATGCAGAGACTTTTTTTTCAAAGATCCTATTAATTCTTCCATAATTTTACATTTTAATCGCGGAATTAATTGCGCAAGATTTTGTATTATATTAATACACACTAATGTATCATCAAAGTTTTATTCCACGCCGAAAGGTAATTTACGTAGTAATAATTTGCAAACTATGGAATTTTAAATGTATTTTCATTTAACTAATTTCTGTTCTTTTACGTGTCGCACAATTTATTGACTTGGTCCCAAAGAAACGGATAATCTTCATAATGTCGTTTCTGCTTTAAAATTAATGTCGATTGCACATTTTAAGTATAAATTAAAAGAAATTGACAATTCAAAATTATTTCGATTTATTAAATTTTTTTAGGTGGAAATCGACGCGATTCTTGCCTTGAATCGCGATTTGAATCAAAAAATGGGACCACGAAACGAGACTATATGTGCGTTGCCGCAGGCGATGAAGATAGGACCACGAGACGACAGTATGTGTGCGCTGCCGCAGGTGATGAACAACCACATGTTGGCGTCCTCAAAAGCAAGGGTATGTATTTGTAGAGTTAATTGATTTTCTCAAAACCCATAGTTGAAACGTCGAGTGGTGCGTTCTAGACCATTGTCAAGCGTAGATTCAATTGTCAATTAAATTTTGAAAGATGTAGAAAGACTGCTGCTCTTCCACATTCTATTCACTCGGAGATCTCCTAAAAATACATTTAGCACTCCTGTAGAGAAACATTAAAAAATTAACGACACGAGATAACGGAAATTGGAGATCTTTATTTTCTCCTTAATTAATCTTTTAATTAAAAAATGTACAAACAGGTTTTAGATTACAGAGGAACTTACCTATCCATTTGACAGATCAGCAGAGTAGTACGTGTACTACTATCAGATAAACCAACTCTCGCGAAAGTCTCGCAATCATTCAGACGTTGATCCGTGAATGACGGCGCGCGTGCCACTTTGCGAGTCGAACTCCGCGCGGGACTTAAACGCGTCCGCGTAAATTCGCGGTCGATCATCGACTGCCTTGGCAGAATTCTGTTTATCGGTTGCCTGGGCTACGTGAAATAACCTCGCTCCTAATATGGAAAGAATAATCCGATCCCGCGTCTCGTGGCGTTTACACCGCGGTAGGCATGTTCCAGTACCTGTACGTCTTTCAGGTAGGAGTCCCCGTCACTCGTAATCGGTCCACCACAAGCCTTTGAATCTGACGTGACGATGACCGTGGAGTCTGATCTCGTCAGGTCTTCGGCTTCCCCGTCACGTGGAGCCCGCGTCTAAGATAAACAATTGCGACTTCCGCTGCAAAATTTGCATCGTGCGTTTGTTGCTTCTTTTATTCTTGTAGAATTAGATGAAAGCTTTTTGAGATTGCTCCTAAGTTTGCCCTAAACAGTTCGCAGATATGTGATTGTGTAGTTTGAACTCTTCTTATTAGCAATACTTGTACCTACATGCAACAATCACGGTACACAAAATATATATATATATATATATATATATATATATATATATATATATATGTCGTTTATCGTAATACTTAGTTCGCGTAATTATAGATTTAATATTCACTAAGATCTGATTGCACCAATATTACTTTGTTGTAATATATATATATATATAGGTATAATATAAATTTCAATTACCATTTGATCACGCGATGCCACTCGGTCGTTTCAGTCGGTTCGTCTCGTGCTCATTATGTTAAAAATTGGAAAATTTACTTTGAATTATCGAAATCGCTTCTAAAATAACTTGCATTTGTACTTTTATTGTATACGGAAAAGGAAAAGGATATATTTATGAAAATTGAAATATTAAGAAAAGTATATTTTGATTATATTATACGTTAGAAAAAAGTTAGCTCTGATGTATTAAAGATTGAAAAGCGATAGAGTCGATGATAAAATTCGAGGGCTTGAGGTGCCCAAGCAGTACAAGAATTCTATAACCCTTGATGATAGTGTCGGTATCGTTACATCGTTATACACAGTTTTTTTAAATATAATATCTTTCAATTAGATAATATCTATGCAACGCGATAATATAATATTTGACACTAGTCTAGTTTCTATTGAAACTCTCAATTCGCTTGCACTTCGGTGCAGGTCAAATTTAGAGTGTCATTTCCATTAGAAATAGAAATCTTGTGAAAAACAAAAGAGCTTCTGAAATGAGCACATTTAAACGCATTTCTACCGACTTAAATTTGGTTTTACGCCGTATTAGATACTTCGGTGGAAACTAGACTACTGTCGAGAGTTATAAACTCCTAATTTTGGATCTGAACAATCCATGAGTTTAAATGTCCAAGGATCCATTCGTAATTTTAGAATATGATACATTTCCTCAAGAAATTACCAAGCCTGTAAATACGTCGATCGATAAAAGTCAAAATCCGCAGCGTCATTTTCGCTACTAACATGGTAACATCTTTTTTTTCCTCCATGGACGCTGCTCATAATCACGGACCTCGTGTCGACGATGGACCATCAACCATCCTCGGGCAAAACCGATCGATAACAAACCGATCTCGAATACGAAACTCACGTCGTCTCGGCCATCGCTCATCCGCAAAATTGTCGTCTTTTTTGACAACTCTCCCCCTCATCGATTCCCTCGGTGGCTCCGTCGACCACGGGTGTAATCGTCCGATTGATTTACGTAAAACTGGTCACGACCGCGATCTGCGGTAAGGAGCCGGACTCCTCGGCTGAGGAGGACGAGGGAGTCGACGAGTCAGAGAACCAAGAGGAGGGCTCCCTCGGACGCCATGGTGGTCACACCACGAGAAACGGCCTCGCAACCGCAACGCTTCCTGTACGAGTCACATCTCGTCTCTCGGTAACGCGCACCAACCTTCCCCTCATCACCGCAATCACTACAACCGAAACACAACCCCCTTTACAGCAGTAGTCTTCCATGGTTGTCGAACCGATCTTAGCATCTTCGAGACGCTTGCTTTTACGATACCAATTTATGATATCTCGCGAATTTTATTATTTGATTCATAGTGAATAAAGAAATTGTACGGGGATTATACGGTGTATAAATCAATCTTTAGAAACATTATTTAACTTCACAAAAGATGATATCTTATAATTACTGTCCATTACAGCTAACATACATTATATGTCTTTCATATAAGAATGAGATAATGATATATCGCAATTTCATGGTGTTTTATATATCATAAACATTTGATGCAAGTGGAAAGCATCATGAAATTTATTACTACGCCATAACACAAAATGATATTGAAAGATATATGTATGTGAAGTTACGTAATCATTTATAAAACATAATTTATGAACATTGAATTCTATCTAATTGATTACACTCTGTCTAATTTTAATCAACATTGATTATTTATCATTAACATGAAACTTGCAGCTGTTTAAAATTAATTTAATGTTGTTCAAACCTTAAATGGAAGCTTTCTAATAAAGAAACTTAAAGAAAATTTTGTGTTTTTTTAAATATGTGACTAACTTCTAATGAAGAAGACTCTAGAGTGTCATAATTAGTTTTTGAAAGTCAATTTGAAAAAAATTAAAAATCAGTCAACTGCTCGTGTAGCATAAATGAGTTTCAAATAAAACTAAAACTTGATATTACTTTCTAATCTAAAATTCCTTAAAACTGAGTTTTTTTAATGAGATAATCAAATTATGTAAGATAATCAAATTATTTAAAAAAAAATTCTGTCTACTTTATTGGATTTACTATTTTGATTTTTTTTTATTTAGATTCGAATAAAACATTATCCTATAGATTAAGTTTCATAAAAATCGAACAAACAGTTTACAAAATAAAAGAATGTGTGACTTTAATAAGATCGCCCGTAAAGGTTAAACAACTATTTTGAAATATTATTTTCAAGATCGGTAAAAATGTTGTAGTTTGAAGTGCAAAACACCTTCTTGATCTGCATGAATTTTGAGATTCAGTGTCTAAAGCTTCTCTCGCACAGAAGATGCTAAAAGAGCGTTCGCTACCTTTCACCTTTTCTCTATCACGAGTGAAAAATGTCAGCTTTTCTCAAACTGTTCATCCACCAAAGCACTGCTAGTCGCTACCATTTCTTTTCACCCATTTCGCACTCGCTTGAATTCGACGGGATCTCGACAGGTTGATATCGTGGCGAGTTAGCTGAGCTGGCAACTTATCGGATATCCAGTAGACGACTAGCGAGAACTTGCTTCACGGCATTCTTTCATTTTCGTTCACAGAAATGCTTAGTTTCGTGAAACGGAATGGAAGATTGCTCAGTGCGATTGCTCTATACCGTGACTGGGTCAAAAACCGTGTCGTTACGTACGGCGATCGATATGTAAAAGGAACGCGCGGGCGTGATTAACGGGCGGATCGATGTGAACCGTTTTCTTATCTCTTGCGTCCTGAATGTATCTGGCGGAATATATTGGCAAAAAGATGTATTATACACTCGGCTTCGGAGGAAGCACCGTTTTATTATTTTTCGTTTGCATCACTTCTTAGATTGTAAATCGACAAACACTCCTCTCTTCGTTGCACGAAGAAACACCACCATCCTCTTTAATTTAAACAGCTAAACATAATCTGTTCTTTTTTTACTTTCAGCACTCCACCAGGCCGTCTATTCCAGTGAAAGGTACGTTAACCACGAAGATTTTTTTCGATCCTTTGCTATCTCGTTACACTTTGCTAAAGCGGCATCGTTATCGGTGAAATCGTGACGCTTACAATAAACTCCGTGCGTGTGTGGTGATGTCTGTATTTTCGCACTTCGAAAAATTTTCATCATGAAATAGATTTCTTGGCCGTTTTAATTGCAACGGTGTAACATGTGTTTTAATTATACCGCTAAATAAAACGGATATAGAAATCTAACGAAACTAGACTAATTGCATGCGTTCGCTTACACTCCACTTCGCCGATCTTTGTTTGAAAAGGGAGATTGGTGAACACGGAATAAATTCCGACACGCTTCCAGATTCACGCGCCGATAAGCGTGGATGACTGTCAAACTTTCGGCGTTCGATAAGTCAATTTTGTTGTCGGACACCGCGCCTGGTTGAGCGCATGTTCGTCGTCTTTTCACCCAGATAAAGTCAAGTAACGACGAGCCTTCGCTGAACGTGTGTACGGCTGAGCCGTGACTATCGATATTCGTGCACCGTATGCAAGGCAAGGGCAAGGACCCCGACGGAACCTACAGTACGACGTGTAGACCAGCTAAGGGGGTGATTTTGCTGCTGACCCTTCTCTCTCTCTAGCACTGTTCGATTTACCTCAGTGCGCACCACCCGGAACGTCGCTCTTATTTGCCTCTCGCAACGAACGGCTCGGTTCTTAAAATTGTCGAGATTTCACATATGCCACGTCTATCATGAGATTCGATCCGCTCGCCTATTGCTTCCGAAGAAAAAATAAAATCCGAAATTGCGAAAGTACAGATGTCACCGGCGATGACAACCAGATCCTGACGCTTCGAATCGAAGACGACGCCGGTAATGTGTGTGATGGATCTCGTGTTGGAGATTCTGTGATGTCGTTGTTGATAATATGTATTATTGAATCAGTTATCTCTAATCGTACTCTATAAATTTTTTTAAGTGGAATTTATTCTAAAAAAAGAAATTTCTTTCCTTTAGAATAAATCACACTCGAAGAATGGGTAAAAATCTGCCACTCTTATTCAAGAGTACAAATTTTTTGCATTTTTGTTAATAGTGGCAATTTCTTTTAGAGTGCAATTTCACTTCAAAAAATTTAAAGAGTAGTGTAAAGATTTTCTCGGGTTTGTATATGATATTTTTACAAAATTTTTATAGTTAAGATTTTGAGTAAATTGAGATAAAGCTGTAGTCAAAAATTACCTCAATTTACTATTATATCTCAATTTATTATAAATCTTGATGTGCTACGCCAATTTTGACGACGGCATTGTGTTCAGTGTGAAAAGAATTTCGGGATAAAGTGATTTTTGAATGAACTGTATAATTACATTTAAGATTTAAAATTTAAATAATCATATACTTATTTGTAATAAATAAATCGAATAATTATCTAAAATTTATTTAAAAGTTCTTGAATTGTACTTATAAATGCCGTCGATTTTATTGGTAGAAATAAGGTTTTGTAAAAAAATGTTTCAAAATGATTAAAGACGCAACTTTTTATCTATTTCATCTTAATGTCATTCTACGGAAATTCTAGCGACAGTGTTATGTTTAACTTGAAAAAACTTGTAGAGAGATATGTGTTATGATAAAATGATTTTTTGTTGAACAGTGTACCTGAACGAAAATGTACGTCTAGTAATCCTGCGATTTTATCTCGAATTAAACATAAGGATGAATTAAAAATAAAAAGTGATTTCGCGCATTTCGCGAAGGAACAGTAAAGTGCAACTGCGTTTAAAACTTAAAAAATTTTTTGTAGTTTCTTTTTACTAACGTAAGAAATGCAGATTTTCTTTTCCACTGATGTATAATGATTAGAAAATGAATATCAGATTCGAGGCGTCAGCGTAAAAAGAATTGAGCGAAAAGATTGAGATATATCACGCGAGATCAAAGATTTATATTTTCTTTTTGATTTTAATCTTGACAAAGTCGGTTTGATTATCAAGGGTAAAAAGGACAGTGCGGGCACCATTAATCTTCATACCAATGTTTCAGCTGGTTCGAATAGACAATTGTCACGACCAACGGGTCGACCGACGAACATAATGTCAACCACGTCGGTGAACGGTCACGGCGAATCAGTTTCCGGTCTCACAGGACGTCGGGAACTCGAGAATATACCGCCAACACCGACGACGGCCGCCACGCAATGCCTGATGACTCCGGTGCAGAACAGACAGCAGAAACAAGCTCAACAACAGCAACAACAACAGCAGTTACAACAAGCCCAGGTAGAGAATGGTCGAGGTAGGCGGTCCAACGTCGTCAAAGAAGTCGAGAGATTGAAAAAGAATAGGGAAGAGAGGAGGCAACGACAAGCAGAACTTAAGGAGGAGAAGGAAGCGCTAATGAATCTGGATCCAGGCAATCCAAATTGGGAGTTCCTTGCCATGATAAGGTTGCTACTGATTCTAAAAAATGATATTGTTTAAGAAATATGGTTTAATATTATCTATATAATTGGAATTGCATACCTCGAATAAATTATTGATATTCGTGGAATATCTGTAAACTTAAATGTTTGGTAGGAGATGCGATGTATCAACTGTATTGTTTAATTGTATTTATTTGTCTAATTTGCAGAGAATATCAAAACAGCATAGAATTCAGGCCGTTGCGGGAGACTGACGCTGTGGAAGATCATCAGATCACTGTGTGCGTAAGGAAACGTCCACTTAATAAGAAAGAGCATGTGCGCAAGGAGATTGATGTGATCAGCGTACCTAGCAAGGATCAGATGGTAGTACACGAGCCAAAGTCCAAAGTCGATCTTACGAAATATCTTGAGAACCAGATCTTCAGATTCGATTATGCGTTCGATGAGACGTGCAACAACGAGATAGTCTACAAATACACGGCCAAACCGTTGGTTCAAACGATCTTCGAGGGTGGCATGGCCACGTGTTTCGCGTACGGTCAAACTGGCAGCGGCAAGACCCATACAATGGGAGGTGATTTCAATGGCAAAACACAGGACTGCAAGAAGGGTATTTACGCCATGGTTGCCAAAGACGTGTTCAAATGCCTCAAAATGGCCAAGTATCGGCCCCTAAATCTGGTCATTTCCGCTAGCTTCTTCGAAATTTACTCTGGTAAAGTGTTCGATCTTTTGGCGGACAAAGAGAAACTGAGAGTTCTGGAGGATGGCAAACAACAGGTTCGCTTTATATTGAAATCAGAAATTTTAATTGGATCTGATTGCTAAATAATTGTTATTAAAGCTTGTCAATCGTGCTTATGTTTAATATTACATATTTATTTTGACACATGTTTATTGGTTATCTTTCATTATATATCAGTAAAATTCTTTAATCAATTAGAAATTATTCGTGATAATGTAATTTAATTTGAAATTTTCTCATGTTTAACAATAGGTGCAAATAGTTGGTTTGACGGAGAAGGTTGTAGAGACTTGCGATGAAGTATTAAAGTTAATACAACATGGGAACAGCGCCAGAACGAGCGGTCAGACAAGCGCTAATTCTAATTCTTCGAGATCACACGCGGTATTCCAAATAATAGCGCGTATCCCGGGTACACACAAGGTGCACGGAAAGTTTTCGCTCATCGATCTTGCTGGTAATGAAAGGGGTGCTGATACGTCGTCTGCTAATAGGCAAACTCGTGAGTAAATGTATAATCAATCCTAAACGACAACCAAAATGATTATAATTAATGATCTAGGTCTTCTCTAGTTTTGTGACGTAACTGATGTCGTTACTGAAACTTTTAGGAATGGAAGGTGCTGAGATCAATAAATCTCTATTAGCATTAAAAGAATGTATACGCGCGTTAAGTCGTAAGGGTACGCATTTACCTTTTAGAGCAAGCAAGCTGACTCAAGTATTAAGGGACAGTTTTATTGGTGAAAAATCAAAAACATGCATGGTAAATTGTTTCATAATTATGTTATTATGAAATAAGAATCTCTCTCTCTCTCTCTCTCTCTCTCTCTCTCTCTCTCTCTCTCAACAAAAAAAAAAATATATAGATAATTTACCAGGTATTTTTCGTTTATAGATAGCAATGATTAGTCCCGGGATGAGTTCCTGCGAGCATTCCCTAAATACATTGAGATACGCGGATCGAGTGAAAGAATTGGCGGCAACTGATCCTACCGAAATAAAAGCTTCACCGACTGATGATGACCGGGGAATGAAAATCGAGGAACAGGGAAACAATAGTGTATTGTCGGATAGTGATTTAGCGCAGCTTCGATCTCTCAATGTAAGTGATTGTCTACAATTCATAACAATGTTATAAAATTCCACAATTATAAATCGAATAGAGTAATTAAATATTATTCATTGATATTAAGAAAAATGTATATATTTAAATATAATATGAAAATGAGATACTTCTTCACAGGAAGGTGAACTTTCGCAAGATCTGTACACTTTCCATGAGGCAGTATCAGCTCTGCAAATGTTAGAAGAAGAAGTGTTGGACACGCACAAACTGGTCATGGATAATACGACTAAATTCCTTAACGACGCGCATAGTGTGTTCAGCGCGACTCATGAAGTGGATTATGATCAAGAAGGTAAGATAAATTTTTGTTTGCACATTTACGTTTTTTATTTGGTTTTCTGTTTGTTACTGCTTTAATCTCTTACACCATATTGTGCTGGACGGTGTACTTCTGTGGAGAATGTAATACGCAATTTCGACGTGTTCCTTCCATGTGTCACAGAAGCATGTCTTCTTTTTTTTCGATGTATCGAGAAAATCAAGCTTTCAAATATGAAAAATTGATATTTATGAGGCTTTTAACGTCAGATTTTCGTGGTAAAAATTCACAGACATCATGTGGCGATAAGCATCGAATCTTCTTAAGTGACGATTCATGTTGCTTTTATTGAGATTATTCCGTCAGTAACTTGTAGTAAAAACTACGAAACGTTGTATTTGCCGGTATCACAGTGCATCGCATTTTATAACAGATACGCGCAGTAAGACTAAGGCAAATTCGATCGTCACGTTAAATCGTCACCGGAGAAACAGCAGCCCGACAAACACGACGGTAATAAGTGACGACACGGACAGCGACACGCAGACTTTAAACACATTGGAAATAGATACAACTACGGAGAATTCTTTGATGTCTCCCTGGAAGAATGAGATGGAGCACAGAAGTGATTTCAGTTTGAATGACACCGAGGAGGACTTGAATGTTCTTCCTCACACGCCTGTCAGGCCCATTATTAAGAAGAAAAGCATAACGACCGGTCAAATTGCTAAAAAGAATTCAATTAATGAAGGCACGCCCGTATTAGAACGTTCTATTCAAAGATCCATTCAAAACCAACGGATCAAAGAATCCATTATTAACAAAAAGAAGACTCAGAAATATCATTGGTCTGGTACATTCCGTATTAAAACAAGCCCTAAAAATATGCATTGTAATACGTATTATTCGCCTCGCAAAAATAAATCATATGACGTGAAAAATCAACTGACGAATTATAATTATTACTCCGAGGACTTCGCGAACAAAATATCTACGAGTAAAGAAGATATTTTTTACCCGAACAAATTTGATTCTCAAACTATCGATGATTCGTGGAAAAAGTGGACCGACGACAGTATTAGCTGCCAGCCTTATATCGATATTTGCGTTAATGATTTTGAAAGATGTAATTTTAAAGACTACGATACCGATCAAAAGAACTATGCTTTACCGACAGCGTTTTCTAAAGTTACTTTAAAACGAGGAAAGATAAGCGATAAGAATAAGAACACACATGATGTTGATTCGCGAACAGACAATAGTATTATTTTATATTCTCAACTTAAACATGATATCAGTAATGTTAACAAGGAAAATGATAATCTTTGCACTGCCAAAGAATTGGTTGAATCTTCAATAAATATTAAAGCAAATATTAGAAAAACGATTAATGATGAAAAGAAATCTGCTACTCAATTAGATTGCTATAAAATTTGGTATTCTCTGCTATCTTTCTTTAAAAATGTTATTTTATTTTTGCTGCTGCCAACAGCATACATTATCTTTTTTATTTATGTACAAATGAATGAGGATGAAAGACAGAGTAACATATAATTATTTACATAAAACATATAAATTAATCCTAAGCCTCATATTTTATGTTTTTATACGTGTGTTATTCGTATAAGAAAGTCAATAAAGGAAACGATAATTGATGCCAATGAGAGCCAACATAATTGTATAATTCATATATATGTTAATCGCCAATTACAGATGTTTCGACCTTATTATGCCTTGAGAACATGTGAAAGGTCGTCTTACACGAGCTCCGATATTTGTTGTTACTCATACACGGAGGATGACCCAATTTTAGAGTCAAAACTTCTGTAATTGAAGATTAACATACATATACATTATATACCATATATTTGGATTATACACGCAATTATGTTGACTCTAGGAATTATCACTTTTTTTATTGATTTAGCTTTGAAGTTTTTTTTAAATTTTATCGTATACAAAATTGCTTTTAGAATGCTGTTATAATTTTAAAAAATCTTTTTATTTAATTTTAATGAAACTGCATTCCTTCGAGTTTAAGCACTTGGCTGTATGCACGATTAAAATGTTACTAATTCTATGTGTGCCATATATATACAGTAATGTTATGTTAAATGTATTTTGATGTTCCGATCGCATTTCATGTGCAGCATTCGTCGTTTATTCTGTAGAATTAGTTAGTTTCTATATTTTAAGATCTTTTTAATTTTAAAACAACATTTTAAATGAACGACATCTACTACAAAAATATGACATATGTATGAACTTATTATAAATTACGTATTTTAAACCACATTATTTTATCAATATTACTAGCTTTTACAAAATACGGCTGGCTATAGTTCGGATTAAAATCATAGCATAAAGTATAATTTTTTAGGTGCCTTATATTTGTACACATTATATGAAAATCACATTGCATTGTATACCTGTAGAAAAAATGTAATGTAATACCAGAAAACGTTACAGATTTGAGGCGGAAAAGAACAAAGTTTGAGTCACCCTACCTGAGGAGTTTCTCATTACGTAGACGTCTTATAGAGAGAAAACTATTTTCCGACGGTACGATAATATTATTCGATTAACAATTCTATAAAATAGTTCAGAAACAGCTTGTTTTAATGTGCACCATATGTATACTAATGATACGCGTCACATTATTTCCTCATGTCGATATCACGCATTTCAATGAAATATATCCTCAAAAATAATATTTTTTAGCGATTTGGTATCGGAAATTTTACTTGACTTTGCCAATGTAACGTCAGAAATGGATTTTCTTCTCATCTATTTAACAATTTTTTATTTCTGCCAGATTATGCGGTATTTATAATGAAGCATCAAAGTCGTTCAATTTTCAAGACAATTCGAATCATTTGATCTTTTTTAACTATATCTATTATTATAGATACATTTAAAGAACAGCAAGTTCATGAACTTATTGTTCCAATAAAACCGTATATGAATACAAACTGTAGTATTATACAGCAATATTTTTACAGTATTAATATCATATTTCCTAGACTTTTTATTAAAATACAAACAGATTCTGGGAGGGTAAACTCAACATTTTTCTTTTCTTTTTTATTGTTATTATATATTGTTGTAATTTATTAAATGTTATGACAAGTGTATTATTAAAAAAATTTATATATGTATATGTGTGTACTGTAGAAATTTGAATAAGATAGGAAATTAGCAATGTTTTATATATAAAATATGATTAGTATGTATATCTTAGAAGCGTGAACGTATTAGTTTATTATGTACGTAAACCGAATCTTTATTAATAAATGTTATTTTTGTGGATTATAATAGCTAATGTCACATTAAGGATGATTATATGTTTATAAGAAAACAGCTCAATCTCTGTGTGTTCAGCTTAAGCTTCAATTTGTGTAGCGATATCGATATTTAATAATTGTATTTATGTGCATATTCACATTTTATAAACAATATTCACATCTCTTAATTATGTAACTCCAGGCGCTTTTAGATTGATTTATAAACCGATATAAGTTAGATATTAATATACAAACTCATTAATTTTTATAATTACCATATGCTTTATGCAAAAATAGCTTGAGTAGTAAACTTGTAAACTAGATTTAAGCTGTCCTTAGGTACTGTTTTTAAATCACTAACGATTACGTTTTAATTAACATTATAATTCTTGTTTTTATGGGTTTCATTGCAATATATTTTCGCTGAAGCATTAAGACGTCACTAAACTTATTATATGATCATTAAAGCTCAGTAATTATATTTTTTTCGACTACAGCTAAAACAGCAATGAAACTCTATGACAAACATATGGCTATTATTCACGTTTTAAGAAGATGTAAAGTTAAACACGGTGCTCAAATAAAGGGGAAATAGCTCTAGCGTTTACTTGTGATACATTACCTTTATGTGTATCCGATTTAATCCTTAACTACGCTAAGCTGTTGTGTCTAATCATGCTCTTGGGTGCTCTGACGGGTGTGCGTGTTATCTGTTGCAGCATATGCCCAAAAGTGGGAGCAGTTGTTAATACAGCAACGTGACATTCTGAACGCTGCGCTCGACCAAGTCAGCCAGTTCCGCGGACAGCTGTTGCAGGAGGAACAAATCAGCCAGAAGATGACCCGAATGCGCAACATCTCCACGCGGTACAATTAAAAATGTTATCTTTAGCGAACGCGAAAAAAAAGACACATAAAGTAATTATTTCTCACCGGTGAAAAAAGTCCGCTTCTTATGTGTGTATCGACTCTTAATTACAACAGCGCGCGAAAAGCAGATATGCCATGACACTAGTGCGACAGTCATAGGAACGCAAAATGTAACAAATGTCTTGCCTTCGAAATTGCTACGAAATGTACGTCGTCGATATAGCAAAAAGCTCGACTCGTAAATCTCACCTTAGCGATCTTGTATCATATAACGATTCTTCTCGAATGATTCTCCATTGTAAAAAATGAAAGAATAAGAAAATTCCGCAGGATGGGATATGTAAGCCGAAGTATGGCAGGCATAATAATAATTGCTTAAGGATTCATCAGCGAAAAATTATTTGTTTTTACCGCAATAGATACGTTCGTCTCGGCGGAAGTCGAAGAACTTTTTTTAGCTAGGTTTTCTATTTAGTGCCTTTTTTTAGTTTCAAACTGTAAGAAATTTTAAGCAAATCCAAAATTTTTCGCGAAAACAATGATTCACACATATTTGATTTTGGCTCGGAAATCAAAGTTTTGTCAGTATGTATTATAATTGCATATTTATCGAAATGAGTTCTTACATGTTCTACATATTTTTGGGCCGCACCGAGACCAGCAAAATTTTAAGCCGTCAACGACACATCGATACTCTATTGCATATACCATTTGTTCATCATTGAAATGCAACGCACCGCAAATAACAATGCATAAGTTATTACGCCGTCAGATAAACACTCGTTTTTTAGGCTGTAGGATGCTAGGTATATTATTGAGGGGACCCAATGTATTATTGGATAAAGGAAAAAAGCCTTAGTGAGCCGATTTGCCAAGAAACGCATGTCATGGCGATACTTTGTATACACTCATTTAACACACGCATACACATGTACACACACGCGATCGACTCTTTCATAAACCAAATAACGACTGATTTCGAGAGGATGAACAAAAAAGAATGTAACTCTTAGCTCGTAAGAAACTATTCAGCGGCGCTCTTATCCGGATATTTAAGTTTCTTAGTATTAATATCGTCGACGGCAACAAACGGTCTTTTTTTTTTTACGTTATTAAAAGTATGAGATTAAAATCTTCATTTGATTTATCAACGCATACTCTTGTGTTTTTTTCCTCACTCTGTCGAATCGTAACGCTCGCAAAGTGATCTCAGCATGTGCGCAAACTTGACAAGCTTAACTACGGATACGTCCACTGGAATACCGTCGATTTTTATCACGATTATAGTTACTACAGTGAAGTTTTAATGTTGCCCCTATGGATATATTTTCTTTTTGACCAGAGGAGATTGATTCTTCGTAAGATATAAAGCAAAGATTCTAATCCCATTTCTGACCTCTACATTCTCTAAGATACATCGCGATAATTGATACCAATATAATGCTAATATTATATTATCTGGAATTAATATAAAGACAAAGAACAGCATTCTTTGGCCGGAAATATAGAACTTCTTCAATAAGTAATAAGAAGCTAATGATGTTTCAGCATTTGTATATAAATTAAACATAGCCATTTTATTTTTCCTTTATATTTTACTGCCGGTTTCTCGATGTTCGTTTCTATAACTCATGCAGACCGACTAGTTTTGTCTTATCACGATTTGTTGAAGATCATTGCATTACGATGCAAGAAAATATATCGCACCGCAGTCGCACTAGACAATAGAGAATTAAGAAGATTTATAACGTGTATCGCGCGCACGTCACACGACTTTATCTCTTGAAGATTTCACTCCAGATGCTCTTGTATAAGCGTAAAATCCTCGTGCGTGTCAGTCTCGCGAGTTAACAATCATTACTACGTATACGCTCGATTTTGTAAACGTGTAGAATGTTTTAATAACTCGAGGAAAGTTACTCTCAGTCTTGGAACTTAGAAATAAATTAACAAAGTAACAACAATATATATAACGCGCGGATAGATGAGAGTAACGGAGCATCGATCTTTCTTGTGTTGACAAGATTTACGATTTTTTATATAAATATATAGAATACTCAGCGCGGAGTTGTAAAGAAATTGTTTGAGATTACTGTTATATTAAAAGATGAGATAGTCACGCATGCTGCCGCGAGGGCATTCTCTAACTTAATACTTATCGAATATATAATATTGATTGAAAATTGTGACCACACACACGTATTAGCGAGTTGTGCTTCACTTGTCGATAAAATTTATCCCTCGCTACATATCCGACATCTTTGCGATGGTTGCTAAATAGGTATGTGTCACCTTGATTAACAAACGCTAAACGTTTCCGAGGCAGTTTACGGCTGCTGTAGCTCAGGCACATATGATATTTCCCCATTGTCGGTTTTCTAACTTAGTTTTTCTTTAAGATGAAAAAAATCGCGTTTCACCACCTCGAATATAGTATTTTTTAATAAATAGTGGCGCGATAGGGAAAGATGAGGCTTAGTAATCGAAAGATGTTAATATATTTCTTATTTTTTTATAACTGTATAATTTATGCGAGAAGAGAAGGAGAAATCAAATATACGACACGTATCCTCCCTACATCCTTGTCCTATTATATGTCGTACTTAATAGTCGACTTCTGAACTATTCTAATTCGATGTGCACAGAAAAGTTTTGGATACGTATGAGAGGTTTCACGTTGTTGCTTAATGAATGAAATAAATCAGATTGGAAAATGAACGTTCAGTTACATTCCTCATCCTAATCGTCTCAAGATAAAAAAAAATGATATGCTAATAGGAAATTAGAGATATTTTCCAGCAAGAAGTAAGAAACAGATAACACAATATAAAATGCAATAATTCATTACATTCTTATCTGCTAATATTAAACAAAGAGAAAATTAATCATATTACACTGTCATCTGGCATTTGATGGAAAGCACTGTAATTATACAAAAAACTTCTTATGTAAAACCGCATTCTTTAATTTTTAACACAACTTTTACGATATTTGATCATTGTGTTTGAATTATTAGAAGAAACATTAAAATTGCTATTTTGTCAGTCAGATCTATGTATCGACCATGCACGGAGAAACTTTTTTCGTAAAATTTACTCTGAAAATATATAGTTACGGTACAATACAATATTTTAAAGATTTTTATCGTACACTTCAATAAAATTAATCAAATTTATTTTACATATTTGTTTTATTGTATAGTTTTATTAATAAATGATTTACATCAAATTTTTTTTCTTCGAAAATACAATGTTATCCTATAGCTATCTTATTTTCAGGATAAATTCCAAGAAAAAATGCTTTCTGTGTATGACTTTCCTTAGGTCAAACATAAAAATTATATATACACGTACATGAAAATTTTACTTTTTACGTTTCCATTTTAGTGAAAAAGTTGTATGATCGATACACTCTCTGATGGATTCTGTTCAGAATGAATTCCTTTCAGAAATATTGTTTTCTTGGAAAACTCAATAGATATCTAATTGTAAAAAATAATTCCGATCGGAATCCATTCCGAATAATATGTACTTTTATTACCTAGACCTAAACGGTATGATGCAACGAAGGGATTCAGCAGGATAGGTCATCAAATTGTGTAATTATGAAACGAATTAAAGCATCGTATAGATATACAGGTAGGTATTAATTTTATTTTATACTTGGTAAAGAGAGAGAGCTGCACAAGACAACGATTACCGGAAATGCATGCGTAGACAGCACACGTGAATACGCGTAAACGTGATCAAGCGGATTTTTTTTTATACACCGAATGATACAGCTGACCACGAAGAATTTACCCTAAGGAATTTCTAGCGTCCCATAGACACATCGTCCTGCCAGACTATCTAACAATTTCATCAAGCAATAACAATGGAAATCTTTTATCGGTACGCTCGATCAGTGCTGTGTTTGACGTGTTTCGTCATTTAATTCTTTTTCCATGGTAACAAAGTACGCAGACCTGTTCAACTAAACCAACCATTTATACTAGTTTTTTTTTTCATTAAAAGCCTAATTTCTTACTGTATAACATGTCACATATAACACAAAGATTTTTCTACTATCTTTTCACTACATCATATACATACACGCATACATTAAGATGTATGTATGTACAACTAAAATACCGTTCTGTACATAAAATGTCTTTTTTCACCATAAAGAAAAGAACGTGCGAAATAAAATGTACTACACGACGTGCTTAGCGGCTAACGCGCGTCAACTCTATATAGTTTTAAACGATACTACGTCCTATATTTTCTGGCGGAGATAGTGACTGTACAAAGATAGAGGAAACTCGTGTGCCTACGTCGTCGCTGATAGTCGCGAACACGATGCAGCCACATGAGCGTCTCGCGCAAGGGGGAAAGAAAAAAAACCCGCAGTTATCTTCTCTAACGGTATATAACATGGAATGGATTCCGAAGAGATGTGCTCTCAACACGACTAACGACATTTGATATATTTACAGTCATTGACGTGCGGAATATATCGCGAGCCCGTTTCCAAATCGCACCTTCGCACTTCAATCGCTCATCTATTTATTCTTCACGGCCTTTACATTAATAGACGGCTTTTCTATAAAAGGAACCGACGCTTCTTGTCAGAATCAACGAGTAGACGTCCGGAGCTTTTGATCTAAAAATTTTATATATATATATATATATATATGATGTATCGGTTAATATATTAATAAGAAAAATGTATATTAGGCGTTAATATATCAGAAATGTAATAGGAACATATTTATACATTTAAAGCGATAAAAATTAATATTGTATCGCTGGCATGTTCGCGACACTCTGTATACATCTCGTTATATTGCAGATGCTCTCAGTTCCTTCTATATATTCCCAAGGCACGAATACTTTCCTGTTCACAATCAAGATAGCTGTATTGCTCACAACTTGATTCACATCGCACAACTGTAATCATTAGAGAAATAAGACTCGATATCAGACGTCTTTGTCTGATTAATATATAGCTATATGTGTGTATGTGTATACTCTATGCGTGTATGTGTGTCACGCGCGCGTACATGTGACATTGCAATGCAAACACAGAGCTGTACATTTATTTTACACGAGAACAATTAAGGGGATTCTTACACGATTTTTTCTCTTATCGAATAGGAAAATTTCTGTGCACTTTCAAATACATATTTCATCCTCACATTCCTGCTATTACACATAAAAAAAATTGCGTATATCATATCGATTACATAATTACGTAATATAAAAGACAGCCAAGGCACAAATTTGGGCGGCGCGCAACAAAGTATATAGTGTTTCATCAATCCTTAAGAGCATTAAGCTTGAGGTCGAATTTCCACAAAAGGAAGTTCAAAGGATCATTTTGAAGAGCATCAGGCACGAAGGCTCAGGTAAGATTGTTTTGTAAACGGGCATCGCAACTAATCTATAATGATTCAGTTAATAAGAAAATTAAGACGTAGTGATAATGTGAAATATAAACTGTAAGTATAATCTTACATAAGAAACTATCCACGTACACGTACATCTTGCAGTAATGCATCGTGCTCGTCCGAACGTGACAGAGCTCAAAAAAAGATTTCGCAATACCTATCTAATCGATTCGCTATTCATCAATGCAGATTACGATTCAAAAGAGATCTCTAATTATAGTATAGTATACATTTCTTTATGAAAAGCCAATCAGGCATAATCAGATCACATCTTGCAGAAAGGAACCAATTCGGAGAAAGATTCAGAAATTATTATGGCATTTTTTTGTCTTACCTTTAACAGTTTTATCTTCTAATATAGAATACTGATCGGTTCCTTTATACAAAATTCGATTAATTATCATTTTATCAAACAATAAATTTTTCTTATAGAACGGGCTGAAAATATCTTACATTTTACCCTTCTTTTTTTTGTAGTCATCGATTATTGTCTCCATCACTTGTGCAATTGGCGCAATTGTACCACATTATGCAATATCGAATAAACATTTTATCGACGTCTACGTTTGTACAAAAAACATCATGTTTCAATTTTACGCAACTATAAGTTACATCTTATTTTTTTCTTATTTTAAGCAAATCCCTTACTATTGTCTATTATAGAAAAATTATAATGCTATTAGAGCCAAATAAGCTTTGTTCCCCTTCGTACTTTTTTTGTTTATCATCAAATCGCAAATTTGCCAAATTGAATAGCAAAGAATCACAGCTAGGCACACGTCGGCAAAACTAGTGATAGCAAATGGCAGTGAAATAAGATGGTATATTGTCTATAATTAGGCACTGTTAATATCTAACGGCTTCAAGACACTCGTAGAATCGATGTACTTTTGAGATATTTGATTTAAGACTTTGGAAAGTGATTAGATACAATGAAAGAATTGCATTTCTCTGATGAAATATCACAGTGCGTAAATTAAATATTATGCAAATATTTCTTTTTTTTTTTTGGCACCTTTCAAAATGTAAAAAAAGTAACAAACGTAATATCAAGCTTAACTCCAATCAATTGATAAACTTTTACTCAAGTAATATTAACTTACTGAGACAGATGACTTCATTATACACACATACATCACTCACACACTTGTATTTTATATATACGTGTGTACGACATTTCCATACAGAAATATGTACAGCACATAAAATTTCATATATAATTTGTAATTAGGGAATAGAAGTATGTGTCAGTAACACCGTTACTTTTTCTCGTTATTTTGTCATAATAATTATTTAGTAATAACAATTTTTTATAACAGTAATTATAATATCGGAATTGAAAAAATCAAATGTTACTTGTAATGAATTGAAAAAGTCACTTATTACTGAAAAAAGTAATTTTTTATTTGTAACTAGTTACTTTTATTTATTGCTTACAGCGGAAAAAGTAACTAATCGAGCGTTACAAGTTACTTATTCCTTTTTTTCAATAAATAACGTGTGATAAGATTACTTTTCAAAGTGATTTTCCTGATTGGGAAAACTCGCCGGCTCGTGTAAAAGAACACGATAATGTCGCTACGTTTGTCTTAGCTCCGAGGTACCGTGTAGTACTCCTGATAAGAGCTAAATCGATTAAGGTCTATGTATGCTCATTCAATAGCTTTCATTTGGATGTATAATAAGTGCTTTTATTTTTTTCTCTACCCTACAAACGGAGGAAGTTATTGCAAAGTTCGGATGTGAATTTTTTCTTATGATACGTCGTCGTTACTGTGTAAGTATTTGTAATTATTTGCAAGCCGCCGACTGTACAATCAAATTTCAATGGTTCTAGCACAATCATAGAAGAGCATTATAAGAGCATCCTTGCTGTCTGTGATAGAGAATAAACTACAAAGTCTAACTCAAAGAACAGTTACAGTTAAATTCAAAACGCTGCGACGAACGCAACAAGAGCTAACGAACGGTTCAACGCATTTAGCAAATCTTTTCGACAAACACAAAAAAGGGAAACAGGAGCTTGAAAAAGTGCGAATATTTTGTAAGGTAAAGAGGCAGAATTAGAAAAAGAGATCGCTAAACTATTTAATAATCAGTCGATAAATGTTTATGGAGCTGTTTAAATAGTAACAGTGAACATAACGACATAGTAACTCTTCCATTCCCTATTTGTAACACATAAAACTTACTTAATCATGTACTGTTCTTAGGAATTTTAATACGGAAAGCGTCGAATCGCTTGTTGCACAACACGATAATTGAGAAGAGTACAATGCAATGTAATGTACGTAGAGATGGAGTAAGCCATGAATCATAGAACTTTCTATAGATTAGTGAGTTTGTTTCAATATATATCATTGGACGCAGTTAACTTTTCTTACAGTCAACGTGAGATCAACGTCCAATGTTTTACATTGAAATAGATCGCTACTCAATAAAAGCCCGCTATTATAAGTTATCTAGCGATAGATTTGAATAAATCTATATAGACGTAAATGTACTTCAAAACATACATGTAACTCAACAGACATAATCAGTAGATTATGTTTAAATTAAAAAAACAGAGAACATCTTTTCTTTTCACCTTATATAATTCGAAAAACTTACTTTCTTTTATACAACAATTGTATGTTTTTTTCTACACATCACAATAAATTTAAAAATTGTTTCAATAAAAGATTAATTAAAAAAATTTTGTTTGTAACACTGACAATATCTCATTAATAAGTTTCCGTATAAAATAAAGTATCAGACTGATGCATAGATTTAAAAATATTTCTTTATATATATATATATATATATATATAGTATATACAATGGTAGCAGAAATAATATATAGGTACACTGCAGATAAATCATAATTTTATTTGCAGAAGACAAACAAAAAATATTCAGATCAATTAAATGGATTAAATATAGCATTTGGAGGCCTTCTCATAGTTAATGCGCTATCAGATCCGAACAAATTAATCTTTATTTCGTCGCTCCAAAGAATATTTCTCCACTACTTCTCTCTGTCTTCACCAACAGTTTTTAAATATTTATTCGCAAAAGTTAAACGATCTCTAATATTCTTCTTACTCAACAGTTTTCTTGGAGTTCTAGCACATAATTTAGTATTTTACAGCCTTTGACGAATTGTTCTTGCTGATATTGGTGCATTAGTTTGCTCGTTCGAGTGTAAAAGAACTTGCAAAGGGATCGGCTTTGCATTTTCGAAGTAATAGCCGGTCAAATACTTCCATTGTTTTTCGAGATCTCCCTCGCGATTCTACAAACTGCTGTGCTTTTAAGACATTAGCAATCATATTTCTAGACCGTCCTATCAATTTATTTCCCTCGAGAGGTTTTCCAATCTCTGACAATATAAAAATGTTCAATAAAATTTAATAACCAGCAAACCGCTTGTACCTATTATTTCTGCCACCAATCTGCATGTATGTATATATATATATATATATATAAATAAGTATACCACTATACTCTCTTTCTCTCTCTCTATATATATATGTAT